GGTCTCTGCTATTAGAGAAAACTTCCTAACAATAGATGGGCATCCCAATATACAGACCTAAAACTTTGGAGAAAACCTCACAGCTAATTCCAATGTAAAAGCCACAATGTAACAATCGCATCATTTAGTTATCTGAGTTAACAGATCTTGGCCACATTATATTAAGCTTCAAATATTACATGTGCTCGCTTTCTTTTGCAGGCCAACTACAATTTCAGCACTTCTAACCGTGGGAGTCCCCCTGTATTATAACCGCATTATAATACCCAGTGGATTTTACCTGCCCTATTAATAGTGCTCTATTTGAGGGACAATATACAATATATGAAAGGCAATCAGCAGATGGAAATGTTAATTATATATAATCAATGTGTGCTTTACCCACCTCCTAGCACCCCCCAATGGAAGTAGTCAAATCTCTTTAGAATGGTCTGACTTTTAACAATAAATAATACACAAGATCCAGCGCACTCTATCTACTAAACAGCAACTTCAATGTTGACAGATTTTATTAGTTTTTTCTAAAGGTTTTTTTTAAAACAAAAAACCTAATCTAGGCAAAAAATAATGGGGGTTTAGTTACATTATATGATCATACATTGCATAAGCCTGCCACAACGTCAATGTACCCCATCTTTTACAGGTCCTACTCTCACAGTCTAATGTGTGCTCTTATGTGAATAACTCACTTACTTGGGGAAAAAATTCCATCTGAAGCTCTCTGCCGTACAAGGATAAATAGGGACCTGAGATGAGGCACCTGTAACAGGCAGGGGTGCAAAACCAAGGAGTTGGCTAGACTCCCAAATATATATATTTATGAAACATGGGGGGGTGGTTGCACTCACCTGAACATGCTTAAATGGGGTGCTGCTGGGGGCCATATTATACAATAAACAATACACAAGATCCAGCAGACTGACTTTTTAGATGGGGTTCTCTGGGTGCTGATCCCTGCCTCCGCTACAGTCAGCGAAGACCCATTAGCTGTTGCTTAGAAGCTTCAGTAAGTTCTTCTGCGCTAACTCATTGACTGGGAGTATCAGTTGGTTGCCCGACCGCACTGGCTTAGCTCACACAGAGAGCTTTGAGTGCAGTGGAAGCAGGGAGCCTTGTGGGGCCCAGATAGAAGTATAGAAAAATAGACCTAGAAACCTAAAATGTGACGGCAGATAAGAACCATTCGGCCCATCTAGTCTGCCCGATTTTCTAAATACTTTCATTAGTCCCTGGCCTTCGAACCATTCTAAAATGATTTGACTACTTACATTTGGGCGGGGGTTGCTAGGACACTCCTGGTGCTGTAAACACGACTGTGTGCTGTAGTGGTTATGGTGTATTCCTTTAATGATATGTGTGCACTATGTTTCTATGGGATTTTTTCTCTCTTTTGAGCAGTTGGGGAGAGGTCTACAATTGGGACTGTGCTACCTATGTGGAACAGCCGTGAGTTGTAGCACTTGTTTAGAGTAGAGAGCCGGTTCCTTTCTGTGTTATGTTAAAGTATCAGTTTTAGGACTTTCTAGTCTATTGTGTTAGTGCTCCATACAGGGACATTATCTGTTCTCCAGTATTAGTATGGAATTAGGTGGTAGAAAAAGAAATGTCTTTCTGTTACTATCTTTAATGAGCTGTATTCTATCAATGCGTCATTAAACCGAAAACACACAATAAACACTTTTACCAACATACAGTATATAGCTAACATGTCTACAATGTATCCAGCCCTGCTATAATATGTTCATTAGGTCACACTGCTTTATCTATTCAGACTATCTCGGTTGTCTTAAATCAACACTTTTCATTCTGAATTCTCAGGTTTCTTGTGCTGATCTTCCACAGGGAGCGAGTCCAGTCTGCACCAGTTTTGTTCCAGGAATGCTTCCAAACATTGAAATCCTGGCCATGCTCCCACTGCAAGGAAAGTAGGTACTGCACTTTCTCAAAGCTCATGTGCTCAGCTGAGACAATGTTGTTTTTCTCAAACTGTATCATGTTGCCCAGAGCATTTGAGCAGACATATTGTTATGTATACGTTAGCAGGTTATTATGAAAAAGTGGGTAGGAATGGGTGACGGCATTGGCCATAACCAAAATATTGCAGTCTTTGTACCTTGTGTCAACCATGACCATTCTGTTTGAATATTTGTTCCCTAATCCACTGGGGCAAGACTCTATATACTATCCTGACCTTTCAGGGGAGTGCAAGGACGTGCTCTGAATTGGGGTGAATCGTACACTGATTAGGGTCCCGATCAGAAGACTATTATCCAAACCTGGTACATGATAATATCTACATCCCACACATTGGTGCACACTAGGCGCTATTGTATGCTAGTGAGACACCTGGCTCAGAATGACTGAGAATCCAGCCACCTGTAATCACCTTATTCACAGTTTTTACAGTTATGCCAAAGGAATAAAAGATTAAAAAAAGACGGTCACGATAACAAGTAAAGGAATTGCTTTTAATCTATTATCCACTCGTAAACTAACATAACAATAAAGTCATTAGTCAGGTTGTACTGGTTCACTGTGTCCAATTTCCTAGAATATTTGTGGAGTTTATTCAGTAAACACTGAGCAAACGCTGACTTCCTAACCTTACCAAGTAGTCTTACCTGGGGATATACTCCACTCCAACTCCCACTTGCTGATCACCTTTACCAGATTGGAAGAAGGAGTCTTTGGGTGCAGTACCTCCAGTTTCTGTAAAAGCATTTCCAAGCAGTTTGGCAAAAATAGGGGTCTCTCCCGCACTCAAAGCCCACCCTTTAACAGTCAAAGAGTAAATGTAGACTGTGAGTTTTTTAGTAGCTGGCCAAAATATTTGCTTGGGTTTACAGGATTCGTACACAGCAGATACCCTTTGGTGCAGTCAAACTGAGACTTGGTCTCTATATGGTGCCAAATGCATAAAAACTATTTGGAAAAGCTGAATTCTGATAATACACATTTTTGGTCTGGACTACCAATATGGTACTTCCCTATTATTTTTTCAATGGCTGATGGATTGCGAGGAGAAAGTGCCAGAGAGAAACCCTCATTGTCAAAACAGTTGAAAACAAACACTGGAGGGTCTAAACCCAAGGCCCCCTCACACTACAATGAGTACAATAAGATGTAATAATACTATGAGTTGCAGTGGTTATGGTGCTTAGGATGTACCTTTCATTGGGAGAGTTACAGGCTGTAAAGCAGAGGCGTAACTAGAAAAACGGGGCCCCAGTGTGAAAATTGCCCAGGGCCCCCCCCATAGGCCTACGCGCTCCCCCCTATACATCAACCCTCCCCCTCCCATACATTGCCCCCTCCTTATACATCTACCCTCCCCCTCCCATACATTGCCCCCGCCCCCCCACATGCAGACACACACATGGACACACAAACATATACAGAGACACACACATACAGGCACACATACATACAGACACACACATGGACACACAAACATATACAGAGACACACACATACAGGCACACATACATACAGACACACACATACATACATACAAACAAACACACACATACATACATACAGACACATACAAACACACACACACACACATACATACTCACACATACATACAAACACATACAAACAAACACACACATATACAGACACACAGACAGACATACACACATAACACACATACAGACACACATTCATACAGATACATACAGACACACATACACAAACACAACATACATACCAACAAACACACACATATACAAAATGTTTTAGTCACCCTCCTGTTTCCTACCTTTTAGATGCAGAAGGGTGACTTCCCTGGGGTCCAGTGGTTGCTCAGCCTGATGGGAGTCACAGTTCCCACCCTGACTCCCTCCTCTCTTCCTCCCGCGTGGCTCCCGGTGGTTGCTGGGAGGAAGTGACTGGGGCAGTCACTTTCTCCCAGCTGTGATGTCATCACAGGAGGCCTGGTCGCGCTGTTAAATCGCCGCAGTGCTGACTGCGCTCCCTTGAAATACATTTCCATCAGGTATCCCTCACAGCATGGGCCACCCAATGAGCCTCTTAACATGCGGCCCCGGTGGTTCTACCATGCGGGCCGGGGCCGCAACACATATGGCAGCAAGCACAGCGGTCGTAGGGTTCCGCAGGGCAAGCTGGGCCTCCTGAAGTGGCGGGCCCAGTCACAGCTGCGACCCCTGGGACCGCGGTAGTTCCTCCACTGCTGTAAGTGTTATTTATCTAAAAGACTAGCTTATTCACCAAATAGTGAGTTCAAGTACAATGACAATTGTCTCACCTAACTTGGATGAGCTGATAATATGTTACAACTCCCCCATTTTTGTTTTGTGAGTCAGGTGTCAATGAACTATAAAACATTAATAACTATACCTCAATCTAAAAAACAAATGCATGACTAAGAGCCAGCAATTGATATCTGTTGTTAATCTATCATGTTGATTATACCATGTTTATATTTATTTTACTCTTATTTTACATGAATAATCAATTGGCATTTTAAAATAATTGGGTACAAATGATATACAAAGCTTGTGAAAATACACTTAGTATTCAAGTTATGTTCACACCCTGCTATAGCTAATGTGCGTTACTGTACTTCCTGTGTGAATCATTTGTTATTACTGCTGCCTTACATTCCTTTTCTTAATTGCCTTAATATTATCATTACATTCTTTTAACAGGAAACTTTTACCGAGATCTTGCATGTGTGCTTTGTACTTTTAAATGCGGTGTCATATACGTTAGTTAGTAGATAAGAGCAGTAGACGTTTAAAGTCCATCATGGAATATTATTTGGCGGCACTTCCAGCTAAATACCTAACAGATTCATTAGCTATTCAACAATAACGTTTTTCATTTCTAACTTGCTCACTTGGTGTATTACCCCACAGGCTTTCTATGGAGACCCATTGGCTACATATCATTCATGTAAAGATACACTGATCAGCCACAACATTAAACCCACTGACAGGTAATGTGAATAACTGATTATATTGTTACAATGGCACCTGTCATGAGGTGGGATATATTAGGCAGCAAGTGAACAGTCCGTTCTTGAATTTCATGTGTTGGAAGCAGGAAAAATGGGCAAGTGAAAAGATCTGTGTGACGTTGACAAGGGATAAATAGTGATCGCGAGACGACTGGGTCAGAACATCTCCAAAACGGCAAGTATGTGGGATGTTCCCGGTATGCAGTGGTTAGTACCTACCAAAAGTGGTGCAAGGAAGGACAACTAGTGAACCAGCGTCAGGATCATGGGCTACTGTAGCACAAACTGTTGACAAACATAATGCTGGCCATGATAGAAAGATGTCAGAACACACGTACACTCCTTTATGGCAATGGTGTTCCCTGATGGCAGTGCCCTCTTTCAGCAGGATAATGCACCCTGCATTACACAGCAAAAAATATTCAGGAATGGTTTGAGGAACATGACACAAAGTTTAAGGTGTTGCCTTGGTCTCCAAATTCCCCAGATCTCAATCGAACTAAGCATGTGTGGGATGTGCTGGAACAACAAATCTGATCCATGGAGGCCCCATCTCCCAACTTGCAGGACTTCTTCTATCATTACAGCTTATTGTGTCATTACAGCTTATTGTGTTATTACAAAGTATTGTGCTATCACAGCTGATTGTGTCATTACAGCTTATTGTGTTATTACAACGTATTGTGCTATCACAGCTTATAGTGTCATTACAATGTATTGTGCTATCACAGCTTATTGTGTCATTACAGCTTATTGTGTTATTACAAAGTATTGTGCTATAACAGCTTATTGTGTCATTACATCGAATTGTGCTATCACAGCTTATTGTGTCGTTACAGCTTATTGTGTCATTACAACGTATTGTGCTATCACAGCTTATTGTGTCATTACAGCTTATTGTGTCGTTACAGCTTATTGTGTCATTACAACGTATTGTGCTATTACAGCTGATTGTGCTATCACCACTTATTGTGCTATCACAGCTTATTGTATCATTACATCGAATTGTGCTATTACAGCTGATTGTGTCATTACAACGTATTGTGCTATCACAGCTTATTGTGTCATTGCCGGTTATTGTATCATTACAGCTTATTGTGTCATTACAGCTTATTGTAGTGGTAAAGGAGCACACAGCCTTATATCTCTATATCGTTAATTAGAATTGCACACTGTCCGCCTGTCGTCCCCTGTGGATACTTTGTACTTTACCTATTATTACACTAAGGTATTTTGATTGACAGAACACATTTATCACAGTTATCACAATATTGTATAATATAATAATGGTAACCACAATGAAATTGTAATTATTTACTTGTATATTTCTTTATCCATTTCTTAGCCCAGCTCAGTATGTTGCAGCTTTCTAAATAAAATAATAATTATTATAAAATATCAATAATTTACATATGATACGTTTTTATTTTTAGTCTAACATCAGCATGGACCTGTAGTCCATGGATCAGCGCAGCTAAGAGGAATAGGCCTTGACAGAGCCAGGAGGTAGGCATAGCAGCCACAGGAATTTAGTGACAGCTAGCATGCTGGGTGAGGCAGAGCCATAAGGGGAGTATTGATACCAGCCATTATATAAAGTGGCCATTGTAAAAGAAATTAAGCCTACCTGTCAGTTGTCCCTCCCACCCTCCTTGTATTTGGTTAGTTTAGGCGATTTCCCGTTTTTTCACAGCGGCGGGGAATGGCCTGGTTAAATCGGAGGGTAGATGGAGGAGAAAGTGGGCATCCTGAGGTTTAGTGTGGATTGGACAGTGTTGCACGTGGTTGGTAGGTTCGAGCCCGTCGGTGGCTGCGAACCTGGGGGTGTGGTGGTGTCTTGGTACACCCTACACTGGAACTGGTGGGTCTTGGTACACCCCTACAATGGATATGGCGGGTAGCGGTGTCTTGGTACACCCCTACAATTGATATGGTGCGTAGTGGTGTCTCGGTACACCCCTACAATGGATATGGTGCATAGCGGTGTCTCGGTACACCCCTACAATGGATATGGTGGGTAGCGGTGTCTTGGTACACCCCTACAATGGATATGGTGGGTAGCGGTGTCTTGGTACACCCCTACAATGGATATGTTGGGTAGCGGTGTCTTGGTACACCCCTACAATTGATATGGTGGGTAGCGGTGTCTTGGTACACCCCTACAATGGATACGGTGGGTAGCGGTGTCTTGGTACACCCCTACAATCGATATGGTGGGTAGCGGTGTCTCGGTACACCCCTACAATTTAACCGGGTGGAAACATGGCCATATTGGGCGGCCAGTTTCTGTATTAACATGTTATTTGGATTGTTATCTATTGTTATTATTTAGGGGTCATTGCTAGGGGAATGTTATGTTCATGGGGGATGTTAACTTTAATAAGGTCTGTTGGCAATGACCCCATTTGTTATTCCTTAATTATTTTATTTATAATTTAATAAAGCTGTGGACTAATACTTCCAACAATATAACCTGTGTCCGTGTCTTTATGGGGGTTGGGTAAGGTGAGCGCAAATGCCGGCAAATCCGACTGTGCGCCTGTCAAGATATACAAACCCAGAATAGCTGGAACATCACACTTAGTCCAAACCCCAGAAGGATACGACTGGCATCACTCTCAGTCATAATATTCACACGGTTCCTCCCTAATGTCAGAAGATTTGTATTCTAAAGACGTCCTGTAACTACCATTTATTTATTATTTATGTATTTGGCGAACCTGTTTCTGTATTATTAGTCTATATTCTCCTGGGTTATAGAGGGGTCCCTACACCTAGTGTTTGAGGCCTACCGTTTACCTGCCTTAGAACTCTCAGCGCTTGTCCATTCTTCGCTAACCTTTTGTTTTATTACTAGATACTTTGACTACGAGTAGTGCTGTGTGTGTTACTTATTAGCACATCCAGACAGGTACCTTTAAGGCAGAGTGACGTGTTTTTAATAACTGTGTTGGTGCAGCATTTAGTGGCAGAATGGTAAGAAAACACTATGAAGCACTGTTATTATTCAGGAAGGCACACTATGAAGCACTGTTATTATTCAGGAAGGCACACCATGAAGCATTATTAATCAGGAAGGCACACTATGAAGCACTGTTATTATTCAGGAAGGCACACTATGAAGCACTGTTATTATTCAGGAAGGCACACTATGAAGCACTGTTATTAATCAGGAAGGCTCACTATGAAGCACTGTTATTATTCAGGAAGGCTCACTATGAAGCACTGTTATTATTCAGGAAGGCTCACTATGAAGCACTGTTATTATTCAGGAAGGCACACTATGAAGCACTGTTATTATTCAGGAAGGCTCACTATGAAGCACTGTTATTATTCAGGAAGGCTCACTATGAAGCACTGTTATTATTCAGGAAGGCACACTATGAAGCCCTGTTATTATTCAGGAAGGCACACTATGAAGCACTGTTATTATTCAGGAAGGCACACTATGAAGCACTGTTATTATTCAGGAAGGCACACTATGAAGCACTGTTATTATTCAGGAAGGCACACTATGAAGCACTGTTATTATTCAGGAAGGCACACTATGAAGCACTGTTATTATTCAGGAAGGCACACTATGAAGCACTGTTATTATTCAGGAAGGCTCACTATGAAGCACTGTTATTATTCAGGAAGGCACACTATGAAGCACTGTTATTATTCAGGAAGGCACACTATGAAGCACTGTTATTATTCAGGAAGGCACACTATGAAGCACTGTTATTATTCAGGAAGGCACACTATGAAGCACTGTTATTATTCAGGAAGGCTCACTATGAAGCACTGTTATTATTCAGGAAGGCTCACTATGAAGCACTGTTATTATTCAGGAAGGCACACTATGAAGCACTGTTATTATTCAGGAAGGCTCACTATGAAGCCCTGTTATTAATCAGGAAGGCTCACTATGAAGCCCTGTTATTATTCAGGAAGGCACACTATGAAGCACTGTTATTATTCAGGAAGGCACACTATGAAGCCCTGTTATTATTCAGGAAGGCTCACTATGAAGCCCTGTTATTATTCAGGAAGGCACACTATGAAGCACTGTTATTATTCAGGAAGGCACACTATGAAGCACTGTTATTAATCAGGAAGGCACACTATGAAGCACTGTTATAATCAGGAAGGCACACTATGAAGCACTGTTATTATTCAGGAAGGCACACTATGAAGCACTGTTATTATTCAGGAAGGCACACTATGAAGCACTGTTATTATTCAGGAAGGCACACTATGAAGCACTGTTATTATTCAGGAAGGCACACTATGAAGCACTGTTATTATTCAGGAAGGCTCACTATGAAGCACTGTTATTATTCAGGAAGGCACACTATGAAGCACTGTTATTATTCAGGAAGGCACACTATGAAGCACTGTTATTATTCAGGAAGGCACACTATGAAGCACTGTTATTATTCAGGAAGGCACACTATGAAGCACTGTTATTATTCAGGAAGGCACACTATGAAGCACTGTTATTATTCAGGAAGGCACACTATGAAGCACTGTTATTATTCAGGAAGGCTCACTATGAAGCACTGTTATTAATCAGGAAGGCTCACTATGAAGCACTGTTATTATTCAGGAAGGCTCACTATGAAGCACTGTTATTATTCAGGAAGGCACACTATGAAGCACTGTTATTATTCAGGAAGGCACACTATGAAGCACTGTTATTATCAGGAAGGCACACTATGAAGCACTGTTATTATTCAGGAAGGCTCACTATGAAGCCCTGTTATTATTCAGGAAGGCACACTATGAAGCACTGTTACTATTCAGGAAGGCACACTATGAAGCACTGTTATTATTCAGGAAGGCACACTATGAAGCCCTGTTATTAATCAGGAAGGCTCACTATGAAGCCCTGTTATTATTCAGGAAGGCACACTATGAAGCACTGTTATTATTCAGGAAGGCACACTATGAAGCACTGTTATTAGTCAGGAAGGCTCACTATGAAGCACTGTTATTAGTCAGGAAGGCTCACTATGAAGCACTGTTATTAGTCAGGAAGGCACACTATGAAGCACTGTTATTATTCAGGAAGGCACACTATGAAGCACTGTTATTATTCAGGAAGGCACACTATGAAGCACTGTTATTATTCAGGAAGGCACACTATGAAGCACTGTTATTATTCAGGAAGGCACACTATGAAGCACTGTTATTATTCAGGAAGGCACACTATGAAGCACTGTTATTATTCAGGAAGGCTCACTATGAAGCACTGTTATTATTCAGGAAGGCTCACTATGAAGCACTGTTATTAGTCAGGAAGGCTCACTATGAAGCACTGTTATTAGTCAGGAAGGCACACTATGAAGCACTGTTATTATTCAGGAAGGCACACTATGAAGCACTGTTATT